TCTTTGTTTACAGGTTTTGTACCCAGTTTTCAGGTCTGAACTTGGCCGATCCTATTTCAAAGCCAACAATAACTAGCTTCTATTTAAACTTTCCATTTGACCTTTTTAGTCACAAGAAACTCCATGCAAATGGTTCATGCTTTTCTTTCATAACAGCTATTCACATTTCCATTGTTGCAGCGGGGGCTTCACAGACACATAATATGTCTATATAAGAGTGGAGAAATAACAACACTGGATAAACACAGTAAAGACAAATTAAAGAGAACAACACACAAGGATTTAATATGGTTCAGTCGGTATGACCTACGTCCACGAGCGAGAACAACAGAGAACTCTACTAATCACAAAAGAGAAGATTACAAATGAGATCACTCTCTTACCAAAGAATCACACAAAGAAAGAGATTAACTCTTTGTATCTCTCTCTTCTCTCTCTTCTCTGTAACTCTTCTCTCTATCTGATTTCATTCACTCTTACCACTCCTCCTTTTATAGCCTTTCAATTCTAATAAAAAATTATTAATGATTGGTGTACTAGTGTAGGCAGGTATGTGATTTTTGGCTTTCATATACAAAGTCAAATAACAACAAATCTCCACATTGACTTTGAATATGAAGATATTCTCTTTACTCTTACTGTCTCGCCAGAAGCCCTTTACGGGCTTAACCTCCACTTTATTGAACTCCAAACAATTCTAGACAATGCTTGAACTTACGTGAAGGTACGAGCTTCATCATCATATCTATTGGATTATTTGCAGTACTAATTTTTTTAATTTTGATGACTTTAATTTCTCTGATAAAATGATCTTTGACATCTATATGTTCGGTTCTTCCATGATACATCTGATGCTTCGTCAAATGTATAGCACTCTGGCTGACACAAAATACCGTAGTAATACATTGATATAAGTCGAGATCTTTAACCAAACCTCTCAACCAAATGGCTTCTTTTACTCCTTCTGTCACCACCATATACTCTGCCTCTGTGGTAGACAAAGCAACTGTCGACTGTAGAGTCGCATTCCAACTAATTGTTAGGTCTCGTGTTTTGATGATGATTTACAAACATCATTATTGGTGCTAATTGCTTGTCAAGTGAGATATTACTCAGGATATATTTTATCAAGCAATATAGTGCCATGTATTGGAGGATGGATGAATTTGTGCTATAACAATGATATCCGTGGAGGTGGAGGCTAGTTGATAAAGAAGCCCTAAAATGCTCAAAGATCGTCGCAAGCAAATATCAAATAAAGAAGAGCGTTCAAGCGTAGATTCAAGAAGAGCTTCATCAACAAAATTGAGAAAATATCGACACTTAAGTGTTGTACAATATTGTAAGAGATATTTACAGTTTTTATTTTCTCTCTAG